AGAAGCGAATGACTAATTTTACCTTCTAAGTATGACTTTAACTCGTCGTTGTTTTTCTGATCTTCAGCCAAGTCATCAAAATTTATTGGATCAGTTGTTATGGCTYGGATTCGAGACAGCAGATCTGCTGTAACATTTTGTACCCCTGGTACGTGACGAATGTCTGTCGTGATCTGCGCAATAAAATCCAATTGACGTGCCTGACGATCAGAKGCTTTTTCTAGTCGTTGCCGAAAAGCATAGATTAGCGGCTTGTGGTCGGTGTAAACGTGGCAACTTCTTCCTTCAAGCATGAAGCGAAAATGACGGACGGAGAGAAATATCGCAGTTAATTCTCTATCGTAGGTACTGTACCGCTGTTCAGCTTTTGTAAAAAGGCGTTGAAAAAAACCTAAAGGTTGAAGTGATCCATTAGAAATTTGATGTAGCGCGGCGCGTGCAGCGTAGTCAGATGCGTCAACCCATAATGAAAGAGGAGCGTTTGGGAGCGGGTGCGCCAGAAGCGCGCAATTAGCGAGGTCCTCTTTGCAAGCCTCAAAGTGCCTTATGTTGTCGTTCGTCCAGTTTAGTGGCGTTTTGTCGTTGCGCTTATTTCCAGAACACATTTTGAAAAGAGGTGCTTGGTGCGAAAGTGGATTTGGAAGTAGCGATCTATAAAAATTRAYCATAGCTAGGAATCGTTTAAGATCCTTTGCAATCGTAGGAAGTTTGAATAAGCGAATCGCTTCAATGCGRCTAKGCAGCGGCTTGATTCCATCCTTCGTGATTAAATGCCCTAAGAAATGTAGCTCTGATACACCAAGCACTGATTTGGCTACGTTTATTGTTAAGTTGTGTTGACGTAATCGTTGAAAAACTGTACGAAGATGTGCACGATGTTCTTCTGGGGAGCGTGATGCGACGCATATGTCGTCCGGGTAGGTGAACACATTACCTATACCGCGGAAAACTTCGTTGATGACTCTTTGGAATGTTTGTGCCGCGTTGCGTAACCCAAAGGTCATATGCGTGAATTCGTACAACCCAAAAGGAGTTGTGATGGCAGTTTTGTAAATGTCATTGGGATCGATTGGGATCTGGTGAAAGGCCTTCTGTAGATCGATTTTTGAAAATATTGAATTTCCAGCAAAAATATTACTGAAATCGTGCAGGAACGGCAGAGGGTATTTGTCAGGGACGGTTACCGCGTTAAGCGCGCGGTAGTCTCCACACGGTCTCCATGACCCGTCGGCCTTGCGCACCATATGTAATGGGCTAGCCCAATTACTGCTGGATGGCCGACATATGCCCAGTTTCATCAAAAGCTCGAACTCAGCGCGCGCTGCCGTCAGCTTTTCAGGTGACAGCCGTCTTGGCCGAGAAAAAATTGGTTGACCGTTTGTAATGATCCSGTGAACCACGGTGGACTTCGTTGTAGAATCCGGAGCGGCTGGTCGCGTTACGTCACTAAACTCTCGCAGCGAGTTTAAAAACTCTCGGGCTGAACTTATGGTTGAAATGTTTGATACATTGATTCGCGCTACTGTGCAAAATGATTTAACTGCTGTTTTGCGGTCGAGCAGACGTCGTCCATTAAGATCAGGTAGAAGGTCGTAATGTGATAAAAAATCTGCTCCAATGATTGCTTGGGTTACGTCTGAAATCACAAAACTCCAAACAAAATCCCTGCGTAAGTTGAGGTTAAGGCGAAGTATGACTTCTCCAAAAACTATAATCGGTGAACTATTAGCGGCAAACAATTGCATATCCGATGGGTTGATTCGTGCCAATTTCGAACACCTCGGGTACCGACACATCAGCGCCGGAGTCGATAAGGAATGTTATATTAGTTGATGGGTCGAATATACGGCGGCAGTTCGAAGGCATCTCAGAGCGTCTGCCTATCCCTGAGATACTGCTGGCAGAGCACCCCTATTGTTTGCCATTTGGCGATGTGGATTGARCGAACTTACAAGGTTGGCGACACTTCTTAGCGTTTGGTCCAAACTAGGCGTGACACAAGCACATTTCGCCTGAATTGGTGTTATGATGGCGCACTGGCGTTTTCGATCTGGAACGCGCACGTGTTTTCTCGCTGCTCGTAGCTCTATCAAAACGCTGTTTCAGTTCTGCTATTTCGRTCCTCAGGTCGTTGTCTGTGGTATGATTCAATGCGGAYAYCTCGTGGATACGAACTTCACGCMTTTGCATCGTCTCCACTATTGAGTCGGCGATTTTTAATTTGTCGACAATAGGTACATTGGTTGCTATAATTGCTGCTTGCGCATATGGTGGCAAGCGATTAACCCACAAATCATGCAAAATGCTTTCGCTTAGAGCGGAACCAGCAGCGCGCTTCATT